CAAAATGCTAACTAAAAGCATCAAAAGTCTAGCTAAAAGCATCAAAAGTCTAGCTAAAAGCATCAAAAGTCTAGCTAAAAGCATCAGAAGTCTAGCTAAAAGCATCAAAAGGCTAGTTTAAAGCATCAAAAGGCTAGCTAAAAGCATCAAAAATCTAGCTTAAAGCATCAGAAGTCTAGTTAAAAGCATCAAAAGTCTAGCTAAAAACACCTGAGTGTGACAAAGCTAAATGTTTTGGTGGCATGAAGCTCGTTAGCCTATGAAAAAAAAAATCCATAAATTAGCCGCAGCATTGTATAAGCCGCGGTGTTCAAAGTGTGTGAAAAAAATTAGCATCTTACAGTCCAGAAATTATGGTAAATATATTTGAAATACAAAAAAAGGACAATAGTAAACACCGAATTAGTGTTCACAGTAATATTAGTCAAAACATAAATGTTCAAAACTAAAATAATACCATTAAAATTAAGAGGTTACAGTCTCTATAACAGCTGGAATAAAAACAGTAAAACATCAGACTAAAGCTGAAGGCCAGACGAGACCAAAGTTCAGCTGTTTGACTAGAAATCACAGCAGAAACACATCACACAGCTGTGAAGCACGGCGGTTATGGTGTGGTAATTTGTTTTGCAGCCACAGGACCCGAGCGCCTCACAGCTTCTGACTGTAGAGGAAAGGGTCCTCAGATCGTTGAATTTTTATTAGTAATTTTATTCTGAAGGGGCACCACTTGCTTTCTGGTTCTTAAGCAAGAAAATTATTAAATCAGACTCAAGTCTTAGTGCACTAGTGAGTTCTTTTCGTATTAAATTCAAATGTCATATAATAAAAACGCTTTGAGTCAAAGTACAATTTTGTGATGTTTATTATTGATTTTGGTGAATATAAGTGGTAAAAAAAATCACGAGTACAGCTGAAGAATGGATAATGGCTTTATCTAAAAAAGTTAAATCTGGTCCTCTGGACATTAAAAAAAAAAAAAAAACAAAGCAAATCAACAAAAAAATGTAGAAACGTTTCGTCTCTCGTCCGAGAGACTTCTTCAGTCCAGTCAGGACCAGATTTAACTTTTTTAGATTTTTCTACCTGGATTATTGAGCATGCATCAGGATAATGGCTTTACTTTGACAACACAAGAAGAGGTTAGGGAATTATCTTCTAAACTTTAATATGGTGAATTATGAAGTTTAAAAGCAGAGTAAATTATCATCTATAAAGTTGGTATGGTATGGTATAAAGTTTATTCATTTTAAAAAAGTACAAAACAATTCCATAACAATATAAAAAGATACAAGAGATTTAAAATGAAAGGCAGCAGAAAGAAGAAAAAATCTTATTATATCTGCCCCTTTTTTCAAACAATTAATTCAATCATAATAATCTTCAAGTAACAGAACAAAATGAATAACTCTTTCTAATTTTTCTAATTCTAATACAAAAAACAAACTAAGCTACTTCATATATATATTTATATATAAGTTATATAAATGAGTTAACTAAATGAAGTGTTTTGGCTAGATGTAATTTGTCAATTTAGGAAGACTTAATTCTAATTAATAATGATGAATTTTTGTCGACTGGACAACTTCTTATCTTGTGCCTCAGACACCAGCAGAGAGAAGGAGCAGCTTTTCCTACCGATTTGACGTTATAATTCAACCACCTGAGGGTTACCAGGGACTCTCTTACCATACCATACCATACCATACCATACCATGCCATGCCATGCCATGCCATACCATACCATACCATGCCATACCATACCATTTTATTTATAGAGCACATAAAACAGCTACAAAGCCAACCAAAGTGCTGTACAGACAGAACAACAGGTAACACACACAGCAAAATACAAAATGAGGTAAATCAGAATATAGACATAAAAACAATGCAGATAATGACAACAAACCAGTGTGGAGCATACAGGATCAAAACACAGATCCTCTGGTGTTGAAAGCCACTGAATAGTAGTGAGTTTTTAAACGGGACTTGAAAACCGAGAGGGAGGGGGCCTGTCTGACAAGCAGAGGTAACTCGTTCCAGAGTCTTGGTCCTGATACAGAGAAGGCCCTGTCACCTCTGCGCTTAAGACGAGTTCCTGGAACTGTGAGGAGCAACTGGCCCGCTGACCTCAGGGAGCGTGGTGGGACATACGGTTGTAGCAGATCAGAGAGATAGGGCGGGAGGGGAGGGGGTCGGAACTGTTCAGGGATTTGTAGACATACATGAGTATTTTGAACTGGATTCGAAAGTGAACCGGTAACCAGTGCAGGGAGGCCAAAACTGGTGTAATGTGCTCTCTTTTGCCTGTACTGGTTAAAAATCGGGCTGCTGCATTAGAGTGCTATGGAGGTCTGACTGATACCAAACAGGAGTGAATTGCAGTAATCAAGCCTAGATGTAATGAATGCATGTATTACTGTCTCCAGGTTATTTTTGGACAAAATGGGCTTCAGTTTAGACAGCCGCCTCAGTTGGAAGAAACATGATTTAACAATCATGTTTACATGACTGTTAAGTTTCTTGAGATGAGTTATAGCGCCGAAGGTGGGATATCCCTCGACACTGGACATCAGCTGAAATTTGGAGTCAACAGTTATCTGGCTCCCGATGGGGTCAGTTGATGGGCTCCTGGAGGGCTGCGTTTCCTCCTTCTGGTGACAAAGATCTTCTGGCACAAATTTCCAATTGCTTGACCTTTCTTCTTCAAAAGTGTCCCCAAGACTGCTCTAAACCAAACGTTAGAATAACTTCTTTGACTTAGAGGGCGTTACAATATTGATGGTCGAGCCAATCAAACATAAAGGGTGGACCTTTGTTTCAGGCTACTGTTTTCATTTGAACGTTAATAACCTTAATAAAAAATAAATAAATGGCTAATTTACTCTGCTTTGGTAAATTCTCAATATAACAACAGGATAATCAAAACTTCTAAGCAGTTTTTACTCATCCATAAATATTTTCATTAGAAGTTATGCAAACACAGTTGAAACCTCTGATTACCAGTTTTACATCTACTTTCTCTTATTCATGATTAAAACTGAGTATTGAACTGAGAAAGGAAGTAAACAAGATATTTCATAGCAGTTTTACAGCAAAACTTTCAATTGTGTTCAGGAGAACTCAGAAATTTAAATTGTTCAGAAAAATAATTTCTACCGTGGGATGGCAAAAGAGTCATTGAGAAACAATGGGGGTTCTTTCTCACACTCTAAGACTGCAGGACGAATCCTCCCTTTTAGGAAGAGATACACATAACGCTTCAGATGTTATATTTCAAAGGTCAGATGGAAAAGTTCTCATAAAAAGGGCCTTTCAGCTTTGCTGAAATCAAAATAACAGGTGTTCAATTAATTACAATAACAGATTTTTGTTATTAATTTTTTTGTATCATGGTTCCTTACTGTCCAGCTTTGGGAATGAGAGTCAGTCTTACTTTCAAAATATCAAAAGAATAAAAGTCGATGGTAGAAAAACCTTGATGTGTCCCTACATGACAGAAAGGATTTTAATCGCATTTTTATGAATAAAGTTTTGTTTTGTAGTTTCTATAAAATGTTGAATCGTGCAGTGGAACTAATTTTACACACAATGTTTCTGATTTTTGTTTTTGGTAAAAAAAAAAAGATGACACTACAGAAAATGGATGTGTGATCGTAATTATATTCAAGTCAGCCGAGTTAAATGACTACACAGTAAGTCCTGCTGTGTTTATTAGTCCAGGAGAGTTTGTTTCACAGTAAACGTTCTGTTTGTTTTCTGACACGCACCTTGATCGTGCACGCAACCTGCATGGGGCCCCTTCTCCCAACAATCAGCACCCTGCGGATGGGACTCTGAGCCAGGGCGTCCAGAGCCGGCTGCGTGATGTCGGTTTTCTGCAAAAACAAACAATAAAAAACACATTTCAACAAAGGTTCTAAAAAACGTATTTTAGAAATTAAAACGTCCCAGACAACAGTTTTTATTTTACAAACCGGATTCCAAAAAAGTTGGGACACTAAACAAATTGTGAAAAAAAACTGAATGCAATGATGTGAAGATGGCAAATGTCAATATTTTATTTGTAATATAACATAGATGACAGATCAAAAGTTTCATCTGAGTAAATGTAACATTTTAAAGGAAAAATATGTTGATTCAAAATTTCACAGTGTCAACAAATCCCAAAAAAGTTGGGACAAGTAGCAATAAGTGGCTGGAAAAAGGAAATCGAGCATATAACAAACAGCTGGAAGACCAATTAACACTAATTAGGTCAATTGACAACATGATTGGTATAAAAAGAGCTTCTCAGAGTGTCAGTGTCTCTCAGAAGCCAAGATGGTAAGAGGATCACCAATTCCACCATTGATGCGCAGAAAGATAGTGCATCAATACCAGAATGGTGTTACCCAGCGTAAAATAGCAAAGACTTTTAAGTTATCATCATCAACCGTGCATAACATCATCAAAAGATTCAGAGAATCTGGAACAATCGCTGTGCGTAAGGGTCAAGGCCGTAAAACTCTACTGGATGCTCGTGATCTCCGGGCCCTTAAACGTCACTGCACCTCAAACAGGAATGCCACTGTCAAGGAAATAACAGAATGGGCTCAGGAATACTTCCAGAAAGCATTGTCAGTGAACACAATCCACCGTGCCATCCGCCGTTGCCAGCTGAAACTCTACAGTGCTAAGAGGAAGCCATTTCTAAGCAAGCGCAGACGTTTGCACTGGGCCAGGGGTCATTTAAAATGGAGTGTGGCAAAATGGAAGACTGTTCTGTGGTCAGATGAGTCACGATTTGAAGTTCTTTATGGAACACTGGGACGCCATGTCATCCAGACCAGAGAGGACAAGGATAGCCCAAGTTGTTATCAATGCTCTGTTCAGAAGCCTACATCACTGATGGTATGGGGTTGCATGAGCGCTTGTGGCATGGGCAGCTTGCATGTCTGGAAAGGCACCATTAATGCAGAGAACTATGTTCAGGTTCTAGAACAACATATGCTCCCATCTAGACGTCATCTCTTTTCAGGGAAGACCCTGCATTTTTCAACACGATAATGCCAGACCACATTCTGCAGCAATCACAACATCATGGCTA